TTTAATCTTTCAGTATCTCATATCAGTGAGACAATATGCACATGTGAGTCCGACGTACTTCATTTATGAGTATAGTCTCAAGTTGCTTTCATTTACCTATAAATGTCTCAAGTTTATCCTTTATTGCTAGATAGTACTCCACTGTATTAAAAAGACCACAACTTTTTGATCCACTCCTAGTTTGATGGGCATTTTGTTTTTTTCCAAGATTGAGCTATTACAAATTGTGCTCCTATACACATAGTTGCACGTATATTGCTGTGCTACGATGTTTTGAATTCTTCCAGGAATATACTCAGAAGGGGAATAGCTGGGTTGAATGGGACCTTTTAGTCTAATTTTTGAGGAATCTCCACCCTGATTTCCACAGTGGTTGCACCAGTCTACACTCCCACCAACGATAAAGAAGTGTGCCCTTTTCCCCACAGTCCTTCCAGCGTTTATTGGTTGATTTATTTTTTTTTAATTCAAAATGGTCTGGAATCTGTCTTCATGACTACCCCTTAGCATCCAAACTAAATGAGTGATAAAATTAAATAAATCCAACATGTGAATGAGGGATACTTATTCTAATGAGCCTCTGAGGATATCTAGTATTATATCATACAGTGAATGTTAAATCATCCTAGCAGCACTATGCACATAGTCACTTTGGCTCTGTTAATCCTAAACTGAGCTTTGTACTCACTAAGCTGGATCTCTATGGTCTCAATGACTCAGTGACTTGGATCACAGCTAACATTCTGAAAAATATTTTGTCACAATACAGCAAAAAGAAAAAATTCAACTGAAGTATATACTACTTCTCAGAGAATGAACATTACAGGAGATATATCTGAAACATTTTTTTATATCCTTGTAATCTATCAGTTATAATCTCTTGGAGGGCAAATTCCCCATCTGTCTATTTGAAATACTTTATAAACTGAGGAATGAAGAGCATCCAGCTGTTGGGAAATTCAGAATTACCTACAATTAATAAATCAATTCAATGTGATCCAGGATATTAGCACTTCAGAGATACAGAGAAGGATGGGGAGAATATCACCTTTTTCTATTTATAGCTCAAAATATTTTATAGAAGATCCTACAACATAATATTTGTATGTATAAACATATCGGAAAATTAAAACTTTCATTAAGTAATAGAAATACAAACATGAGATTGGTATAGCAGTAGTTCAAATATGTGAAAGCAAAATGCAGTCAAATGCCATCATTTGGGGATAAATAAGGAAAAAGTTGGTTGACATTTGGGAAAATTTACAAAATCAATTTTATTTTGGTGTCTACACATTTTTTTCTTTAGAACAGAGTAGATGATAAAAATATATGTTAAATTAAAGAATGAATGCATATATATGCATCTCTATATCAATTTATATACAATTCCTATATTTTTAGTTACATAAAAATAAAATCTAAAGTAATATTTGAAAACATTCTCAAGAATAGATTCTGTGGGCCCTAACATCATTAATACTTACCAATCATTATTAATTAGTTTGTCAATTAATTTATAACAGTCTTGTGGAAGTGCTTTCAGGGAACTGTATAACCCCTAAATATTTTAATACCTCTATGCACATGCACACACATGCAAATGCACATACACACACACAAATCAAACACAAACACTTCTTATTTATATATTTAATTTGCTGCATAAGTATATTTATTAATAACAGAGACCTCAGTATATCTTCTGTATGAATTATCACAAATTCTGCTCTAGTCATGTATGAATGAATGAGATTTCATTATGCTGGGGAAATTTAACCAAAAAGTAATAAATGTCTTTGAAATTAACACAAAAGCACAACTTAGAAAAGGAAATAAAGTCAGATAGAAAAGATTTTACTTTTACATTATGTAAATAAAACAATATGGCATATACTGCATCTTCAAGGCTTTACATATTAAACACTGTACAATGAAGGATCATTCTAAATAAAAACTATTTTTGCTAGTATTACTGTTATTATTAGCAACTTCTGAGGGAAAGAGAATTTACAGTCAAAACACAATAATATATAAAATATTGCATTACATAAAAAGAAATACTACAATCATTCTTTTTGTTGCTTTTATATCTATCTCATTTTCAAATTATACAAAGTAAAAAGAAATACAAAAAGATGCACTACAGAATCCTTTTCTTAGGCAAACCAGGCAAGGTTCAAACATATTTTCCACACATGACACTGAAACAGTAGGTCCCAAAAGCCTCTTTTCAAAAAAAAATTTTCAGTTGTTTATAAATTCTAAGGCATATGATATGACCTTATGCATTCTAAGGAGTGAACTTATGCTACAGCTGCGCATATTCCTCCAACTTCCCTTGATTACTTTTGCTTCTCCTTATCTGTATTTCTTACAGATATGTTCATAACTTTCCCCACTCAACCACCTACATTTCTCTATCATCTCTTTCTAGGCCTAAACGAAGAATGAAACTGAGCTTTATGTCAGTAGCATACTTGGTGGTAAATACAAATTGAAGAACTGAAGGGCAAAGTTTGAATCCAAAGAGGAGGCTAAATTATCTTATAGTAGGTGATATACTTTGTAAAATAAAAGAGTGGGGATCTAGAGTTAAAATGACTTGGGTTTGAAACTCAGATCTGCCATTCATTTGTAGTATGAAGTAAAGCAATTAATTTAAACTCACTGAGCCATGGATTGTTTATATGAAAACTGAGGATAATATCTATAACTTTACTATAAAGTGTATATTAAAACAATTAGCACCCATACCTGATACATAATAGGAATTAAATATACATCGGAGCATTTTCTTTCTTATTTTTTCTTTTTCTTCCGGGAATCAAACTCAGGACCTTGTGCTTGCCAGGCGGGTGCTTGTGCCGCTGAGCTGTATCTGTGGCCCTGGAGCATTTCTTTTTGATAGTTAAGCTACTAATGCTTACTCAATAGTGAATTAGCTACAAGGCAAATTTTAAGTTCTTTCTTTTATCTTAACATTCTCTCAAAATTTGAACACCAATTTGTTTATAAGATGATAGCTCTAGGCTGTAGTTTAGAAATCAAAGATAGATTATGATGTATCAAGCACCAAGATATATTTCGAGCACCATTACATTTTATATATTCATTTATAGGTACAGGGAACCATTCATACCAGAATTTGTTTATAAATACTTAAATCCATCATATTCATTATACTGCCCTAAAACCCTGAGTCTGTAAACAAGTTCTCCATTTTAACTAAAGATACCATCACTTAAGCTACAAATGAAAAATCCTGGTCTCCACCTTGTCCACATTTTCTTTTCATCAGGTGTCAAATGTGTTTAATTTTAATTTCTGTAAACTCTGGAACTTCTTTTCTATTCTGTTGAATTTGCCTTGGTTGACATTCTCAGTATTTCTCTCTTCCTTCCTGTCATCACCTTAGATGCTGTCTACCCTCCATAGCAATTGTTTGTAGAATATTTACTCAGTTATCTGCAAGTGGTTTCTTTTTTCTATAAAAGTTTACTTCAGGGGCTTAGGATTTAGCTCAGTGGCACAGTGCCTGCCTGGCAAGCACAAGGTCATGAGTTCAATTCCCAGTACTGGAAAAAAACCAATAAAATAAAATAAAATAAAATAAAAGTTTATTTCAACAAAAATAAAATGGTAAGATAACAACAGTTTACAAAATTCTAACTGAAGAACAAGTGTGTGACCTAAATGTACTTTCGCTATTCCATATCAGCCTCTAAGGAAGTCCTGAAATACATTTTGGAAACCACTGGTATGTAGGGGAAAAGGATGAGCTCTTTGACATGATAAATCAAACCTGACTTCACAAGCTTTCTTTTCCTCTTTTTTTTTTTTTAATCTTAACCATACAATTTACTAGTATCCCATCTCAAATTTTTCTTCCAGTCTCTTAAATTTAATTGCTATTTTCCATATCATACTGGGCTTTTTTTCTCATCTGTGTATCTGTGTGTACTCTTTCCTACCAGGAATACTCATCTCCTGATTCTTCATCTGTCTGACACTCAGGTTTAGACATGTAGCTCTAAAGAGTCCATCTTTGTGGGAATTACCCAATTTTCCAAACTGATACACTTGCTTCTGCCTTTATGAGTTTACAGTATATTTTATGGACTTTTATTACAGTCTTTATCACCTTTTAATACAGACATTACTTTACATTCCTTTCTCCCTATTCCTGCTGTGACCAGGATACTCATATATTTTCCATTACTAGAAATTAAACCCCAAACACATGAGATGCTTTATAAATGTTTGTATCGTTGGTAGTGTACATAAAGATATTTTGACTTTTAAGCAATTTTTGTGGGGTAAGAGCCTTAATAATTTTAAATGATTACATTAGATAAATTTTAAACTTATTTTCCAAGTATTTTTGTATATTTGTAGGTACCTTTTAGGGAAATAAGAGAATTCAATTATAATGTGTAAAAGCATTATCTTTACCAGTTTATCAGTAATCAATGAAGAACACTAAGATATTATTCAGGACAATGACTAGCTCCAGCTTCTTCTTTTTCAATTATAATGTGTATCTATTAAAGATGCATTTTCTTTCTATTTTATAACCTGTACTAATAAATTGGACAACATGCATGGATACATAGACCCCCTAAAAATAGAAAGAGTATTACTGAGAGATATAAAGTAAGCAGATGTTCTGCATCCTATAGGAGACTTTGAGAAGATATTACTTTCGCCAACGGCCTCTATCCCTGGTCCCAACACAGAAGTATATGTGTTTATACATACAAAAAGGCAAATAAAGCAATTTATTGAAAGGATATGTTTTTTTTAAAAATCCTTTCCATTTGATTTAAGTCACTGGAGTAACAAAACTTGTTTTCATAAATATTAAAAAATATTCAATAATGTAATTTCTAGGAGAACATGAAAAAGTCTGAACGACAGGCAGTTAGATCAATATTAGTTCACTTCAAAATCTGGCCAGTGTGAAGAGAGAAATCTGATCATGAGTTGGACTTTATTACCTGTTGGAGTGATAAGTCCTGGTGATAAGAGGCTTGGGATTGCATGGGGCAGAAGGTGGGTATTGTCTTGTAATGCTCCTAAAGAACGCTTTGGAGGTCTGCCAGGCCTTGAACTGCAGAGAAATGGATAAAGATCAAGTTACAAATGCATGCATTTTAGAAATACTATCACTTGCTAACATTCATCTTCTAAATCTTGTTTAGCTGTCAAGAATAATAGGAGTTCACATTATACACTATGCATTTTCATGGATCATTAAAAATCCAATAATTTCATGAATTTGCCAAAACAGTTATGACAATCATTAAAGTTATAAGAGATTAATTTCTAGTTTAGACTCCATTTGCAGGCCAGCACTTTGTAATACAGTTCATCTGCTGTGGAAAACCATAGGTTACCTCCTGCTCTTAAAGATACACATGATCCTTAATATTAAAATACGCTGCTAAGATGACATGATACTTTACATGGAAGATCCCAAAAACTCCACAAGAAGACTCCTTGAATTAATCAACAAATTCAGCAGTGTAGCTGGATACAA